TCTCTCATGCCTCTTTACTCTCGATCACACTCTCTGTCACCCCTTGCATGCTAAATATATGTTTCATGACTATTTGCACAAATATTTTCAACGGCTCTGATTGGTTATTTTCCCATGTCACCTGACTGTATGAATTTAAGCCTACTACTAGGTTGGCATCTTGGTCCCACACCTTTACTGTTTAATGTAACTGCCTCTTCTACTCCAACAGATTCTTCTCTCACACTTCCCAACAGTGAAACACCCTTCCCCCTTACTTGCTTCCTTGAGAACTATAATCTTCAAAAATTTAAATGTAACGTCAATCGTCATCCTCCAATGCATTGATCCCCCTTCTTTTTTATTTCTTTCCTAAATATCCCCTTGTACCCTGTTTTTTTTTTCTTACCTTCACTCTCTGTGACCCCTTGCATACTAGTGGCACTTCTGCCTTGCTTGGGGTGAAATGCTTAAAAAAAAACAAAAAACACAACCTAATATATTTACCTTTGAATTCAACAGCTTTTAGAGTTTAAAGAAGCAGTGGTAGTAGGAGGAAGAGAAGGAGGAGAAGCAGTGGTAGTAGGAGGAAGAGAAGGAGGAGAAGCAGTGGTAGTAGGAGGAGGAGAAGGAGGAGAAGCAGTGGTAGTAGGAAGAAGAGAAGGAGGAGAAGCAGTGGTAGTAGGAAGAAGAGAAGGAGGAGAAGCAGTGGTAGTAGGAGGAAGAGAAGGAGGAAAGCAGTGGTAGTAGGAGGAGGAGAAGGAGGAGAAGCAGTGGTAGTAGGAAGAAGAGAAGAGGAGAAGCAGTGGTAGTAGGAGGAAGAGAAGGAGGAGAAGCAGTGGTAGTAGGAAGAAGAAGGAGGAGAAGCAGTGGTAGTAGGAAGAAGAGAAGGAGGAGAAGCAGTGGTAGTAGGAAGAAGAGAAGGAGGAAAGCAGTGGTAGTAGGAGGAGGAGAAGGAGAAAGCAGTGGTAGTAGGAGGAGGAGAAGGAGGATAAGCAGTGGTAGTAGGAAGAAGAGAAGGAGGAGAAGCAGTGGTAGTAGGAGGAAGAGAAGGAGGAGAAGCAGTGGTAGTAGGAGGAGGAGAAGGAGGAGAAGCAGTGGTAGTAGGAAGAAGAGAAGGAGGAGAAGCAGTGGTAGTAGGAGGAAGAGAAGGAGGAGAAGCAGTGGTAGTAGGAGGAGGAGAAGGAGGAGAAGCAGTGGTAGTAGGAAGAAGAGAAGGAGGAGAAGCAGTGGTAGTAGGAGGAAGAGAAGGAGGAGAAGCAGTGGTAGTAGGAAGAAGAGAAGGAGGAGAAGCAGTGGTAGTAGGAGAAAGAGAAGGAGGAGAAGCAGTGGTAGTAGGAAGAACAGAAGGAGGAGAAGCAGTGGTAGTAGGGGGAAGAGAAGGAGGAGAAACAGTGGTAGTAGGAGGAAGAGAAGGAGGAGAAGCAGTAGGATCAGCAACATCAATTGAGTTGACTGGAACTCTCCACATCCTGGAGGCAGGGTTTTGTGATTGCATACAAAAAAAAAACTGATTGGTATGCCAGAATATATTGAAAGCAAAAAGGCGGGAAAATGTTCAAGATGGTGTTTGAACATCAACGCATAATGTTGGCATACCAAACGCAAGAGTGCCTGGAAACATTGTTACTTGATTATATTATGGAAGGATTATTTCATGGTGAGGACATCAAAATCAACATTGTAAAAGGAATATAAGTCTCATGACTATTTCTGCAAATATTTTCATGGCAATGGCTCTGATAAGCTATTTTCTTTTGTGACCTGACTGTATGAATTTAAGACTGCTACTAAGTTGGCATCTTGATCCCACACCTTTACTGTTTAATATAACTGCCTCTTCTACTCCCACTCTTTATCTATTTCAACTTGTACACATCTATCTATGGTCACTTTAAGACTATCTATTTCTCTCTCTCTCTTTCTCTCTTTATATATATATATATATATATATATATATATATATATATATATATATATATATGTATTTCAACCTGTACACATCTATCTATCTATGTATCTCATTCTGTTCAGATCTATCTATCTATCTATCTATCTATCTATCTATCTATCTATCTCTGTTCTGTTCATCATCTATCTATCTATCTATCTATCTATCTATCTATCTATCTATCTCATTCTGTTCAGATCTATCTATCTAAGTCTGTTCACATATGGTCTGTTCACATCTATGTATGCCAGCTTTCCTATCTATCTATCTATCTATCTATCTATCTATCTATCTCATTCTGTTCAGATCTATCTATCTATCTATCTATCTATCTATCTATCTCATTCTGTTCAGATCTATCTATCTATCTATCTATCTATCTATCTATCTATCTATTCTATTTATCTCTCATTGTCTTTATTTATCTATTTCAACCTGAATATGCTTTTTAGAGGACTAATTTCCTGATAAATTGTTTTAAGAGAAACATTTCACAATTTTCATGGTAGCAACTGTACTGAAAACAATTTTACATTTGGAAGCAATAAAGATTTCCACCGAAAGCAATTTTACCACTGGAAATAAGAAGCTTTATCTCTGGAAGCAATATTAATGCTGGAAGTAAAGCATTTTAACAGCAGAAGCAATTCTACCACTGGAAGTAATAACTTTTAACACAAAATGTAAAACAATTTACCACTCCAAGTAAGAACCTTTACCACTGGAAGTAATAATTTTTAACATGAGAAATAAAACAATTTACCACTATGAGTAAAAACTTTACTGCTGGAAGTAATAACATTAAACATGAGAAGTAAAACAATTTACCACTATGAGTAAGAATCTTTACCACTGGAAGTAATAACTTTTAACACGAGAAATTAAACAATTTACGACTATGAGTAAAAACCTTTACCGCTGGAAGTAATAACTTTTAACACAAGAAGCAAAACAATTTACCACTATGAGTAAAAACCTTTACCACTGCTAGTAATAACTTTTAACATGAGAAGGAAAACAATTTACCACTACAAGCGAGAAATCTTTTAATAGAATAGACCTTTTGTGTGATTTGCCCACATTTCAAAATATGAGGAACATTAAAACTGACTCTTTCGAAAGAAGTTGATTCATTCAAATACAATTACTAGTTAGTAAAATGTGTTTGTTTTTGTAGCACTTAGAAGTGCTACTAAATGACTTCTCAAAGTTTAAGGAGAAATTCACAGAAGATAATGAATATGTCAGGAGGCACAGACAAAAATGGATCAAAATGATAACCTTTGGACTGAGTCAAATGAGCCAAAATCATAGACTTGATTCTGATAATTTTGGAAGCTCAAGTGAAAATGGTTGAAAAAGAAAAAAAGAATTGCAAAACATTAGTTTACCATTTTAATGTTTACAATCTATTCAAATGACTTTTTTAGGTGTTTTCCTTCTACACAAAATGTAAAATAAAATAATACAAACTAAAATTCTTTTGGACCAGTTTCCTTGTCTTTTTCATCTTTATCCCAATGTTTCAGATGCTGTACCCTCTGGCCTTCTTTCTGAATTTCTGAGAGAATGTGTTCTTACTATTATACGTTGTTTCTTTGGACCAGTTCCATTTTTTGCCTTTATGCTTCAGATGCTGTACTCTCTGGCCTTCTTTCTATCTGAATTTCTCTGGTGTTTATGTGTTCATCTCTCTCTCACTGTCTCTATCAATCTATCTATATATATATGTGTGTATATATATGATTTCTTCTTCAGTACTAGAGACTCTATTCAAAGCTTCAATCTTATAAATTATTCACTCATATCAGATAAAGTTGTATCTGTTATATTATGTTTATCTTCTCCTTGCTCTCTTTCTCTATACAAACACACACACACATACATATATATATATATATATATATATATATATAATAAACAAATAAATCCAAAATTACCTCATATGTGGAATAGCCTATTTTGGTGGACAATAATATTGGTCATCTGTCTTATCAATCCCGGTAATATATATATATATATATATATATATATATATATATAGATGTAAGCAAATATATGGATATAGATCCGACAGTATGAAGAAAAATATATGGAAAAACAAACATCGTCTTTTTCATGTTGAATTGAATATAGTCTAATGTTAATTATGTTTCATGAATATGTCCTGAAGATGGTCAATTAGACCGAAACGTCCGACGTTGACATTATATTAACATTAAAACAGTATAATTGCATGTTGGGATTTTTGTTTGTTTTTCCGTATATTTTTTTCTTCATATATATATATATATATATATATATATATATATATACACTCAGTAGGTCAGATAATTTAAATAAAAAATATATTTCATAATATCATGACAAATGAAATAAATTTATTCACAACAGATGTGGAAATAAATCATAAATATATGGTCTTATATATATATATATATATATTTCAAGTACACATGCCTCAACTCAACAAGTTTTGCAGAAAATATTCTGCTGTTAAAGGGGGAAATAAATCAGTTTCTTTAGGTGTTCTCTTTGATTTTATTATTAATATTATTATTAATGTTATTGTTATTATTATTATTATTATACAGTCACTACTTCTTTCTCTTCTTCTAATTATTATTATTATTATTATTATTATTATATACTTTTGCTAATGTGTTCTTGAGCACTAGAGAAACTTTTCGATGTTGCAGACAAGGGGATGTTTATGAATGCTTTCAGGCTGGTGTATCTTTCGAACAGTTCCCATCGTTCAAATTCTTCAGATTCCCTCACATCAAAGAATTCGCAATGTCAGTAAAAATTGATTTCTGATGAGACGTGGAAAACTTGTCTGGCTTCAAAGTCAATCTCAGTTCCAATCAAATCAGTGTTCCAAATCAGTGAAGCGATTCTACGAGCAAACTATCAGTTGTATGACAACTTATCAGCAGTCCTGTGAGTTTTCAAAATGGCAAATTCAAGATACTGAACAAGTCTTGAAATTGACAACAATTCACAATGGATTCGGATGACTTACTCCAAGGAGTCTCATCAGAGATGACCATCTGAGAAAATGTTGAGATCATTTAAAAGAAGGCATTTGTCTGGTGATACAATACATACACTGATAGATAGATAGATAGATAGATAGATAGATAGATAGATAATGAACTGACAGATCAATAGATAGATAGATAGATAGATAAGGAACTGAATGAATTAAATAGATAGGTAGATAGATAGATAATGAACTGACAGAGATCAATAGATATATAGATACTGAACTGACAGAGATAGATAGATAGATAGATAGATAGATAATGAAGAGACTGATGTAGATAGATAGATAGATAATGAAGAGACTGAGACAAGTAGATAGATAGAGAGAGAGATAATGAACTGACCAATATATATATATATATATATATATATATATATATATATATATATATGTAGATAGATAGATAGATGGAGACATAGAGTAACATTCACTTTATACATATTAACTCAATTCACCCCAAGCAAGGCAGTAATGCCACTAAGACACATGGGGTTAATGGGTGTGGAGGAATTAGAAAAAAGGAATCTTACAAAGGAGTGAGACCAATAAAAGAATAATCAGGAGGACAGTGGAAAGCGGCTGACATTGTCTGGAAAGCATGGATCCAGAGAGTTACACAAGTGAGAAGTGCAAGAAAACAATCTGCTAGCTCAACTCTGCTGTCCACTGTCCTAACAATTACTTATAGATGGTTACCACCTATAGTGCCATCATTCATGGGGGTAGCAGGTTATTCCATAACATCATGATCACTCCAAAAACCTTCGTAATCACCATTAGACCCATCCAGCTCTTTCTAAATTCGATATACCATCCTCAGATTGACGTCCCAAACATTTGTATTGGAGCTTTGGGTATAAATACTAAGCAGTATTGTCCTCATCTTTGTTGCCATATTTATCCGATCCTTCAGTATCTGTCTATATTTCTGAGATGAGGTATTATGTATACTATTTACATTATTCAGACTATTGTCCTCATCTTTGTTGCCATATTTAGCTCATCATTCAGTATCTGTCTATATTTCTGAGATGAGGTATTATGCACACTATTTACATTATTCGGACTATTGTCTTCATCTTTGTTGCCGTATTTATCCGATCCTTCAGTATCTGTCTATATTTCTGAGATGAGGTATTATGTACACTATTTACATTATTCGGACTATTGTCCTCATCTTTGTTGCCATATTTATCCTATCCTTCAGTATCTGTCTATATTTCTGAGATGAGGTATTATGTACACTATCTACATTATTCGGACTATTGTCCTCATCTTTATTGCCATATTTATCCGATCCTTCAGTATCTGTCTATATTTCTGAGATGAGGTATTATGTACACTATTTACATTATTCGGACTATTGTCCTCATCTCTGTTGCCATATTTATCACATTGTTTCTACTGTTGTACGCTTTGTCCTTCTTCAGGCTGTTTGTTTGCTGTTATGATTACATATTTTTACCAGATCTCATAAACCAATGATAACAGCAAAAATTGCAATATGTGCATTGCAATATGAGCATTGCAATATGAGCTCTGGTAAAAATGGTTGCTGAAGATATTAGGTTTATAATATCCAGAAAATCATATACAGATGTCCTTCAGGACACATGGCACAGTGGTTAGTTAGATCCAGTGACAGGACCCAAAGAGTGTGAGTCCAATAACTGGTTAAGGTGGTGGAGAACTAGGAGAGAGGAATTAACAGGAAATAACATGGCACGTGGATCTAGAACAATCTACCCCAGTGAGCAAAATAAAGGGTTCAGTTTGACATTACAACCACCTGAAGAAGGCCGGAGCATACAATGACCGAAACATTGTGATAAATATGGTGACAAAGGTGAGGACAGTAGTCCAAATAATGTAAATAGTGCTAAGCATTATGGTATACTGTTTCCAAATTTCTGGTGGAGTGAATTGTGTCAAGGCACTCTTTTATGACGGACCATACTCAACTAACTCTGCTTTTTCTTTCTATAGAACAATGTAAATGACAAAAAATTTCACTCTCTACATTTGTCTATCAATCAGCATAATTAAAAAAACATTTCGACGTTTTATTCCAACTTCAGTAAATAGCACAATTTAAAAAAAAACATCTTTCGGTCTACACATATTTCGTCTTAATGTTTGCCTGTTTATGGGAAAATTGTGCCCGGAAGATGACAATTTGAAATTGTTGAAAGTACTTGTTATGGCAACAACTCGAATATAAGGCTCTTATTATTCAAAGAATTGATATTAAGTTAATGTCTCATTAAATTCTGTAAAAACTACTAAAACATTTTTACTCTACTAATTGGATTATAATAAGTCCATTTCACTTTAAGAGAGAAATAGATATAACAAGAACATTTTGTGGATATCTAACTTTTCAAAATTCAAATTTCTCATTTGATTGATTTGAACAAGAACTCTAGCATCTCGACATCGCATGCTCCAAAACATATATTTAAGATGACAATTTGAAATTGTCAAAAGTATTTGCTATGTGTCTTCCATCTGACAACAACTTGAATATAAGGATCTTATTATTCAAGGAATTGATAGTAAGCTAATGTCTCATTAATTTCTGTTAGTGAAGTGATTTCGCCATTAAATACGTTAACACTGCAACTTAATTCTTTGTATAAATCATTTCTTTATATATATATATATATATATATATATATAAAATCATTTCTTTATATATATATATAGTAGAGAAGAAAAAGACAGAGAGGAAAAAGAGAGAGAGAGAGGAAAGAAATATCGCAAAAAAGGCGTAAAGAATTCTTTAATGAAAATCATTGTTAGAGAATGGTGGGGTGTGGAAAAAATAAACTGAAAAATTTTCACATAAATTTCGCACATGAGAAATCAAACAGGGTACAGAATTTTTCTAATAATTCCATCTACACGTGAAATCTGCCTACCTCAGAAAACTAATGTTGGATAGTTTCCACCATCACTCTGTTTATTTCTCACATTCACTGATGAAGAACACAGGCTTGTTCGAAAATTCATTGCTTCATTTTTGTCAACTGGTTAATATTAATAAATGTCTTTTGTACTGATTTCATTGGTACCCTTTCATTTGACTTTGTTTTATTGACCAACTTTTCTACTCTATTTTATATACTATATGAAGCATACGTGGACACTTATATATATATATATATATATATATTTAGTTTATGAAAAATTAGGTAATCTGTATGGGTAAACCCAAGGAGGATAAAATCTAAAGAGCTCAATGTAAATCCAGAGCAATTAATTTAAATAGAAACAGACCACTTTAAAATTCCATGTAATAAATTATTTCACCACAGCCCTTTTAAAGGACTGCGGATCATCAGACTTTACTTCCAAAGGTTGAAACAAAAAAATGAAAAGTTATATATATATATATATATATATATATATATATATATATATATTATTTTTTCATAGGTTCTCATGTTTAAAAAAAAAAAGCTATAAAAAAAAATGAAAAGCTATATATATATAATTATCATCAGACTTTACTTCCAAAGGTTGAATATATATATCTCATGTTTCAAAAACAAAAGCTATAAAAAAAATGAAAAAGTTATAAAAAAGACATAAAAAAATGAAAAAAAGCTATAAAAAAATTAGAAAAAACTATAAAAAAATGAAAAAAGCTATAAAAAAAGGCTATGAAAAAAGGTATAAAAAAATGAAAAAGGTATAAAAAAAGCTATAAAAAAATGAAAAAAGCTATAAAAAAAGCTATAAAAAATGAAAAAAGCTATAAAAAATGAAAAAAGGTATAAAAAAAGCTATAAAAAAATGAAAAAGCAATAAAAAATGAAAAAGGTATAAAAAGCTATAAAAAAATGAAAAATGCTATAAAAAAGCTATAAAAAAATGAAAAAGGATATAAAAAAGCTATAAAAAATGAAAAATGCTATAAAAAAATGAAAAAGCTATAAAAAAAATGAAAAGAGCTATAAAAAAAGCTATAAAAAAATGAAAAAGGGTATAAAAAAGCTATAAAAAATGAAAAAAGCTTTCAAAAAAGCCATAAAAATTAAAAAAGCTATAAAAAAAATGAAACAGCTATAAAAAATTCTATAAAAAAATGAAAAAAAGCTATAAAAAAAATTAAAAAAAAGAAAAAAGCTATAAAAAATGGAAAGCTATATATATATATATATATATATATATATATATATATATATATATAGATAATTATCATCAGATTTACTTCCAAAGGTTGAAAAAAAAAAATGAAAAGCTATATATATATATATATATATATATATATAATTATTTTTTAATAAGTTCTCATGTTTCAAAAACAAGAGCTGAAAACTTCAATATAATTATTAGAATTAAATTGAATTAAAGCATCAAGCTCTGTTTCATCTTCAAGCAAAATTTTTGGAATCAGTAATCTTGAAATTTTGGTGTCTTTATAAGCATATTCATTCGTAAAATTAATTACTATGGAAATGGCTAGAGCAATTTTTAAAAAGGAGCGTAAGGGTTAACAATTTGTATCAACATATCAGTTATTTTCAGAAAGAGGTCAAGTCAAGTTAGGGGTGGAGTATCAAATTTAAGTAGAGGATGGCATTAATCGTCAGGCCACAATCACTTTTATATTTACACAATATTTATATTTCTTAATATACTCTCGACTCTCCCTTTGAATTTGATGTATGAGGGTCAAGCAGATATGTTCCTAGGAAACTGACAGCCCGACAACAGCACATGAGATTTGATTATAGTGGTGAAGGTTTCGTGCAGGACCATCCACACTTTTTGAAGGGCCGAATACAGAGACCTGGTGCATTACGTGCCACAAGGTCCCCAAATGACCCTCATTTCTTAATAAAAAAATATGTATATATATATATATATATATATATATATATATATATATATATATATATATTTTTTTTTTTCGCTACACAGTTCTAACCATGTTTCAAAAATGGAAGCTGAAAGTCTGAATTTAATTTTGTAATTAAATTAAAGACATTAGTTCCATTTCATCCTCAAGCGAATTTTTGGAGTAACTTTTAAAATTACTGGGTTTTAAAGACACAGCAAAAATCATAATTCACATTTCAAGGATACAGAGAAATCCAATTCAACCAGACGAGGGGTGTCTGCGTGTTCATTATCGGTGTATTTTGATGTATCAGTTATTAGTTACGTTTTGGTAGGGTTAGGATGTATTTTTTTTCAAAGAAATCTGATATCCGTTAAATGCATGTCGTCTGGGCATATATATATATATATATATATATATATATATATATATATATATATATATATATATAT